TCTTTTCTGTCCTGATGCTTAAATTGTCTGCTGGGGAGTTCCCCAAATACATAAGGGGAATGATGACTTTGCATCTGTGTTGGCTGGGAAGAAGAGTGTTGGACTTGCTCCACACTGGTCTTATTCTTGTCTTGTTGAAGCCAACAGACCAAAGCACTGCTGAGAGCTGTGAAACCTACCTGAAATCTCCCCTAGCCCAACCAGAAGGTTGAAACTAGCCTGTTCCACCCTTGCCACATATGGGTAAACTGGTTGTTCTGACCCTTCTGGTGCCCTTCTGGTCCTGCCTTTCTGTTTGGGATTTTGGTTGCTCCATGGAGTATCTGGAAGACATTTGGTCTGAGTCAGAAGGGAGGTGGGATGTTGTCTGCTCTCTCTCATTGAGCCCATGGGAATCGCCCTGCCTGTGATGACATCTGCTGTGGGGACATCCAGTGAAGGCCACTGGGGAGAAATTGCTATTGTATCCTCCTGTGAAGGGATATTTGAGCAGTGATGCTCTGAAGGTGGTCAAGGACACCAGGCTGCTCTGTTCCTGTCCCCTTGGAATATGTGCTGTGCAGGGCTGAGGTCTGGATCCTGAACAGAGCATCCCATGGCAAATTTAACCTATGGCTGCTGTTGGCACTGTTTTTTCCCTGGAATGGGTAAGAATGAGGGAGTTTCTTCACAAGCATCAACCTGAACAAGGCCTGTGAGACCCTCTGAGGCGTCGAGTTTCTGTTTGCAGAATGAGGCATTTGCTGAGCAGGGGGCTGGTGGGTTTGTAATTTGAGTCTGTGTTGGGGAAAAAGGGGAAGAGGCAGAGCTCCTTGCAAGTCCTGGCACCTGCAGTGCAGAGGTACCTCCTGCTGCTGTGGCATGTTTGTTCTCCTTGCTGCAGTCCCTCTCCACCCATCTGGGAACACAAGCAATAATTAGGTTAATAGATTTTGATGTGGTGATCCCAAGCCCAGCTCTTGGCTGGTGGCCCCATGGCAGCAGCTGGCAATGGCTCCTGCTGATGGAGGGTGTGTGCTCTGATTTGCTCCCTGGGGAGGTTCTTGTTTGCTCTGTGAGGAAAAAGTGACTTCCCATCTCCAGAGGCCAAGGACCATTGTCCAGCCAGTGCTGGCATCCCTTCTCTGGGGTCTGCTCAGCACTGGGGTGTGTCCATCATGGAGCTGAGATGGGGGACCTGAGGCACCTCGAGTTTAGCTCTTAGGACAGCCAAATTGTGGAGACTGGATTAAGAGAAAAGAGAGTATTTTACCTCATCTGCCAGCTCTTACCACCATCAGCAACAGACAATCTTCCTTTGGCCTCTGGGGCTGTGCACAAAAACCACAGTTTTCAGGTTATCCTTTACAATCCTCAGTTGTGTAAGGAGTAAAGGAACCAAAACAATTAAATGGGGGCAAATCCTTTCCACTCTGAGAAATCTGTCATAAAACACAAGGGTTGGCAGCCCTGGGAAGAAGGCCAGCCTTGGTCTCACGGGACATTTACAGCACAGACACCCCGCTGCTGAAGCAGCCTTCCATTCTCTGCTTCTCTTTTATCTTCTGGGATGATACTGATGGCTGAAAGATTCATCTGAGTCCCTTTTCCTTAGGGGTGGGCTAAGCAGTGGAAGAACAAGCCCATGGCAGACACCAGCCTCTGGATTTTGTGGGGCTACATGGCAAAGCCATTAGGACCTGTTTGCAGCACCAAATTCTGTGGTGGAAGCTGCTGAACCCTCTGGTGGGAACTGCCATGCTGATGGCATCCCATAACTGGCACCTCATAACTCCTTCATCCTGGTGGATAAGTACGTATCTCAAATAACCTCTGTGTTGCTGTGCTGCTCACCTGGCACTTGAGACAGTTCTTTTGATTTCCACTCCACCCAAATGTGATTGGCCCTCTTAGGACTCCTTTTGTCATTGATGATATTTTTTATTTTTCTTTAGGAACTTTATGGCATGATGTAAGTGCCCAGTTCTTGTTGGCTTGGATGGAAGCTGGATTTCTAACTTTTACTAACCTCTCCCAGACTCCTTATGCTGGAAAAATGATGTCCAGATTCTATATTTTTTTTCTCTTTTGACCCAGTCTCAGATTTGGCTCAGGTTTCCTCTGTCTCCCTCTGCCTCAGTTTCCCTCCCTGTGAGGTGGGGGACAAGCTGACCCTTTTTAATCTTTTAGGTCTACAAAGATTTTCTATGCCTGCTGAGAAAAACACCAGGCAAGAAAATTTGTGCCAAGTTTGTACGCTCCAAATTTGATGTAAAGAAAATGGACAATATTACACACAATAGTCCTGTGATCATCTTCCAAAGAAGGGTGTGTAGAGAAAGGGAAAGGAAGCAGGGAAAATCTTTTTAATGCAAACAAAAACTAAATGTGTGCGATATATAACACTGTGTATGGGGGGAAAGCTTCCAGAGCTACCAATCAGAAGCATCTGCAAAGTAGATGTAAAAATTTTTTGTTCCATCAGACAGTATTTGGATGGTGGTTGTGATGATGTTGCTGCCTTGCTGCTTTGCTTCAGATGAGTCAGTCCTTCATGCTCTACTTGCATTAAGAAATGGGCAAAATAACTTCTGACCTTTCCCCAAGGGCATACTGTACTGGACAGCTTTTAAAGAAGGGTTCTCGTTTCTGACATCCTGAGGTCTCCAGTCCTTGCTCAAGGGCCCTCCTTGAGGCTGAGATGATGTGAAGGCAGAGCTCTGCTTCCTACTCAGCTGATGAGGGAGGTCAGTGTCTGCTTTTGCACCTATCCTCTTGGGTAATCAGGATCTGAGCCAGGTTTCGAGCCCAAATCCATCTCCCTCATTGTTTATGCTCAGGGTGGCACTACCAGATGGAGCTGGCCTCATTGCTAACCTTCTAAATGGACCCTGAAACCACTGCCTGGATGCTTCTGCCTCCCTGAAGCAAATCCTGCCTGTGAGACAGAGATTCCCATTTCAGCTGGAGGAGTCCAGTGTGCACAGCACTTCAGCAGTGGCAGATGGAAATGAATTAACTAAACTTCTGTGCACCCCCAAATTAAAGAAATGCCTGTATTGATTCTCCCAGCCCCAAGCAGGAACAGGCAGGGATGGTTTTGGCTGGAAGGAATGGGAGGCAATGCTGTGATTCATACTTGTCCAGTCTGATTTCAGTCTGAATCATCTCTCTCCCTTCTCACTAGGAAATGATACAATGAACAGCACTCTGTCATGCCTGGAGACTCTTTTCCTGTACCACTTTTCCATGCACTTTGAAATCATTGCACAGAATCTTAGATTTTGGTCATTTGTGGAGTGGCCTTAAAGGCAGATAAGGTTGTCACGACCTCAGCCAGCTTCTCCACCAACACAGACATGTGGTGAGCTCCTTCCATTTGGGACTAAAGGGCTGGGCAGTGGGCAGGTGTGAAGATCGTTGTTCTTCCTCCTCTCTGATCACCATCTCATGGCTCCATCTCTGTGTCCTGCTCCATCCCCACCACCTCATGAGACCCTGTTTCCTACACAGCCTCCATTCAGCTGGTCCCAGCAGCTTATGGGGTGCCCTGTCCCTGCTGCTGAGATTAGTGCTCCCCCTGCACTACCAGCAGGGGCTTCCCAGAGGTGCCTGGCTGGGCTGGGAGGATTTGGGAGTCTTTATTTCAACAGCATGTGTAAGTGGTGAGAAGAAAAACAACCTGCAGGCTGGGCTGCAGGCAGATCAGGCTGAAGGTACAAGACAGGAGGGAAATTCTTCATGACAGAGGTGTGCTCCTGGCCTGAGGGGAGGGAAGAGGCTATTATGGTTGGAGTCAATGAAATCACTGCTAGAAGGAGCATTAAACAGAGGAAAAAGAGAGCAGATATTGAGGCAGCAAAGTGGTATTTTAACCATCTGCCCAGGTTTGCAGCTAATTGGTCTGGTAGTTGTAAGGAAATAGCAAAATCAACAAGGAAAAGGGAAAGTTTTGCACTTTCCTTGCCTGGGAGCTCTGGTGTGCAGCAGCTGGGCATCAATTCCTTGATTTCAGTGGCAAACCCGAGACTCAGCAGGCTTGGGGAGCTGGGTGGGGACAGGGATTGGGCAGCAGGAAAGCCTTTCACATGGCAGCCAGGAAGCACTGGGAAGAGGCAGAACTTCCCAGTGTGGGGAAGGTTTGGAATAATGCAAGGGATCATGGAGAGGGAAATAGTGTGGCAATGCACAAAACACTCCTGCTGCAGTGCCTCTGTCCAGGCTAAGCTTTCCTGCCAGTTTCTGTCCATTCTTGTGATCCTGAGATGGATTTGTGCCTTTCCTGAAACCCCAGGTTGGTAGGGCAGGTTCACCAAGAGAGTTTTTTTAGATAAATGCCATAGTTGTATCACAATGATGAAGGCCCTTTGGGTTCCTATAGTATTTAATACTGCTTTATAAAGCCAAATAATTAAATATTATTTACTGCCCCCATGCATGACTCACACTTTGCTCTTCTCAGTGTCTTGAAGCCAGCAGGCAGGACAGCTGAGAAACCAGGGAGAGGAGCAGCTCAGCCTGACCTTTGTGTGTGCTATTCTCTTAGGCTCGGGTTCTGGCCATGAGGTATGAATCTGGGGCAGAAATTTAAGGAGTATATTGTTCCAAGAAGAGGGAAAAATCAATATTTATTCATCTCAAATACTGAGGCTTGTCTTGAGCAAAAAAATCGACAAAATTTATAGAAGTGAAATTGCCAAAACTCCATACCAAAATTTGTCCCCCAAGGATTCCAACAACGGAAGTCCCTTGTAATCTTTTCTGCTTTCTTTCAAATTTAAACAAAAATATGCTTCTGTTAGGAACGTTATTTTTGATAAACAGACAACAAAAACAAGGAATTTTTTCCCTCACATGCACTTTTTTTTCCTATAGGAATAAAAGGAAACTTAAAAATACATCATCAGAATGATCTCGGGGAGGAAAATCTGGACTGGTTGTAGTGGGAAAACCCAAAACTTGACCAAAAAGGTGCAGAATACTTCAAAAGTTTCTTTAGCTAAATTTTTTCCCTGCCATTCCACAGTTTTTGTACATTCTTTTACCTATACTTTTTGGGAAGAAATTATTTTGTCTGGACCTTTCTGCACAGATGCTTACAAATACATAAGTGACTCAAAGAGTTAGTTCTCAGCAAGAATTTATTTTCTTTGGTTATCAGCTTCCTGCATCTTGAAGAAATGGAATAGCTCAGGAAGGGTGTTTATTTCATGGCTCCTTTGACCCCAGCCATTGCCTGGTGTCCTGGGCTGGTTTTTGCTGGTCCTGAGCAGCACGGTGGCCCACTCCTGGACGTGTGCTGTGGTCACAGCCACACAGTGGACCCTCCAGGTCTGTCCTCATTGCTGCTCTCCATCAGATGTTCCCCCTCTGAGAGTGGCACCCCGTGAGGGAAATGTCCCAGGAGGAGGGGATTTCTCGCACACTCCCAAGCCTCATCAGCTCACGCAGATGTGCTGAGCTCTTCCATGGCTCTCCTTGGTGCTGCCTGAAACAGGACAAGAGGCAATGAGCAGAAAATTATGCACAGGAAATTTGCCACCTGAAAATAAAGAACAACTTCTTCACTGTGTGAGTGACTGGGCACCAGAAGAGGTTGCCCAGAGAAGGTGTGGAGTGTCCCTCATTGGAGATATTCAAGAACTCTCTGGATGCAATCCTGTGCTCTGGAATGCCTGTTTGGGCAGGGAGGTGGGACCAGATGACCACAGTGGTCCCTCCCAGCCTGACCCATTCCATGATTCTGTGGGCAGTGTGATCCACCTTCTGGTGGCAAAGCCTTCCCACTGCACTGAGCACCTTTTCGGGGAGGCTGTCTCAAGGCTTTCAAGGGTCTCCATCTGGGAATTTGAAGCATGGGTGGATTCAGACATGGATACCCAGGGGATGGGAGTGGGCTCCAGTGTTATGTCAGGGCAGTGCTGCTCCTCCAGCTTCCAGCCAAGGAAGTACCTGAACATTTGGTTGATGGTGAGTGATGGGGTAATTCAGGGCCATCCTAAGAGCACCAACAGCAGATTTTGTGTCATTGAAGCATCCCTTAGGGGCCATTGCTGGCCTTGAGGTTGGAGGGTGCCTTGGCTTGTTCACTGTGGAATTTCTAGGGAGAGAAAGCGAGAAGTCCTTGCTATCAGGGCTTGCACTCCCTCTTTTCCCCTGTACATCCCAGGGGGACTGAGAAACAGATGACAGGTTCACAGGTAATTGGAGGGCTCTGGAAATAGGGATAATCCAAATGCATCTGTGCCCTGTGCAGACACCCAGGCAACTGTTTTACTCAGGACGGGACAAAGCCACTGCTCTCTCAGCATGGCTACATTAAAGATCATAAAGCTTTCACCCAGGTACTCCCATACTGCCTGTGGTTTAGCAGGAGATGGTTTTGTTTTGGGGAAAAAGGCCACACATTTTTCTAACCCACGTGATTGCCAAGTGTAGCTTGGACATGTGGCCTGGGTACTACAGTTGCAATTCCTGCCTGGGTGCATGGGGGGCTTAAAACAGAATCTGGCTGAGGGTGCACAGCCCCGTTCCTCTGCAGTGAAGCAAGTTCACCTGTGCTATAAGGTGATTTGTGTGTGCAACATTTCTAGAGGAGGCTGCAGCTCCAGTGCAAAACAGTTCAGGAGCTGGAGGTTGAAATCTCTCTGTGTACTCGGGATGAATTGATGCAGAAGGCAGCAGATGCTGGAAAACTTATACTTGCTTAGTAAATGTGATTTATTCCCTTCTCATCACCCCATTTTAAAGAAAGCTCAGATCACATTTGTTTGGTGGCCACTTTTATTATTGTCTTCCACTTTTTAATAATTGATCTGGGCCAAAGAGCACCCTGAGTGAGAAAGCATATGTGGGAATCAGAGTCTGTGTGTTCTGGCCTTCCTTATTCCATGGTAAAACACAGCTTCCTGCCCGTGTGCTCCTGCCCACCTCTGTCCTGCTGTTTTATCCGTCTGCCAAAGCTATTTTGACATCTGGGTCTTAACACACTGAAGTTTAGAGCTGTTTGAATGGTCCCATCAGCTTTAAAATAGCTACTCACCAGCTGGAGTCTGAGCCAGCCCACAGCCCCACATGGGGCCAGGGCTTCTCCCTCTGTGTGTAAAATGACATGAGATCAGGTCTGGGACTATAAACACTTAAAGCAGTTGGGTCTTCATAGCCATTGTCCAGATGAGATGTCCCTTCCTTTGGTAGATCTGACCACAAGTGCAGGCAGCTCCAGATCCAGCCATACTGGTGGGTTTTCTTTTTCAACTAATTTTCAGTTGTTAAGAATAAAAAACCAAAACAAAACCATGGAAAAAAAAAAAAACCAAACAAAACCAACCAACAAACAAAAAAAAACCACAAAAAAACCAAAAAATGCAAAGCGAACAAGTGGAAGATAGTGAGTGATAAATAAGGGCTGTTTGATATGATTGAGAAAAGCTGTTCCTCTTTTGCACTCCATAACCCTTTTCCCCTCCCAAACCCATTCTTGCCCTTTCAGAATACACTAAAATCCTTGCATCAACATGAAAATCTCACCAGCTAATGTTGGCAAAGCTGAAGGTTTCCATCTCCCCCAGGTGGGTAACTTGCTTTGTGCAGTCTGGAGTGATCTTTAGTGACTCCTTTCCTGGATATCTGTCCTGCTGCTCTCTCCAGTGGAAAAGTCAGATCCTCTGGCTGGAATTAACCACCTCCATTCAGATACTTGCTTGATTTAAATGGGTACTTCAGGAGAAATATGAATTTTCCATTCTTTTTCCTTTGGCTCTCGCAAAGCGAGTGAATGGTCCCAGCCGTGCCTTTCATTTGCTCTCCTCCCTGAAGATCTGTGTCTGGAGAAAGGCACCCTTCACTCTTTTTCACCTGCTCTCTGCCCTCCAGCCAGCACCAATATCCCCATTATGCTCATTTGGCAGAGTGGAGACTGAGGCAGTTAGCTGAATTAGCACTGGTCCATGTCAGATCACAACTGGACACACGATTCCCTGCCTGAACCCTGGAGAGTGGAAGAAGAGCCACAACTATCTGCAGGAAAAATAAAGCACAAACAAAACCACACGCACAAGAAGGGGAATGAGCATTGGTGGGAGATAAACCTGGATGGTGAATTTAAAACCACTAACAAAAGGAAAGGGCTGAAGACTCTTCTCCAAAAGGTTGGGTAGCTTTTTAGTTCAAAAAAGGAAGGTAGGAGAATGAGAGGACCTGGTCAAGCTCACCTGCTTGCCTCTGTGGGAAAACACCTTTCATTGTGCTCTGCTCTTGGAAATACTTTCACACAAGTTGCAAAGTTGAAGACTTCAAGTTTTACTCCAGTGGGACATATGAAGGGATCTGCCACTGCATTCATGGTACTTTTCCATCTGTGTCCCCAGGACGTGGACACATGGCTATGCCTAAAGCTGTGAGCTGGTTATAAAAGTTCCCCCTGGCTTGTCCAGCCCACCCTCAAGCAGAAGGCTTCCTGCTCTGGGCCAGGGGCTCCTTGGGCAGACATTTGGCGTAGAGGTGACTCTCAGGAGCAATGGGTGAGCACAGTGTGGAAGCTCACAGGTTTTTTGGTGCTGCTCAAACAGCCAGCAGCCCCTCAGCCCTGGTAACAGCACACTGTGAGGATGAGAGGCTGCAGTTCTGCCCAGCCAACTCACTCTTCAGAGCTGAAGAGGTTTTCCTGAAATCCAGCAGGGAATTCTGAGAGTGGTGTCTTCCTTCAGTTTCATACTCTCTGCAGTGATAGAGACCCTTATTTTCCCTGTCCATCTCCCAAGTGCCATCCCTGTCCCACACCCTTCGCACACACCCTGGGCAGCCCTGAGCTCTGCGGACTCTTTCCCTTTCTCCTGGGTAAAAGGAAAAAAACCTTTTCCCAGGATTTTCTTACCTAGGAGGTCTCACCAAGATGCAAAGCAACTAAACCGACGGGCTTGGTTCCGGAGAGAGCCCGTGGCTCTCGCCGGCGCTGAGCTGGGGCTACCTCTGAGCGCTTTTCACAGGAGAAAAAGACAACGAAATCCAAGCGCAGGAGGGATTGCGAAGGGAGGTTACCTGCTCTACTGCTGGGGGCTGGCAGCGGCACCAAAGTCACCCCGGGCTGGCCGTCGGGACTCGTTTTGTTTGGTTGTTCTCCCGGGAGGAAGCACCAGATCCGAGCACAGCGAAGGGCCGGGAGGACAGGCGGCGGCAGCGCTGGCCCCGGGACCCCCGGGGGAGGGACCGCTCGGGGGCATGGCTATGGAAGGAACCCCAGGAGAGGCTGGGGGATTTAGTCCTGGGACTCGGGACCCCTCCCCGAGGGCCTCCTCCTGCCGCCAGGGGAGAGGGGCCGGGCGGGCCGGCACCGCACGCCCCTCCGGGGGGGCGCCGGCCCTATATATTGCCAAGCGGCTCGGGACCGACCTCCCCATCGCAGGGAGCTGCCGCCGAGCCTGTCCCCCTCCCCTTCCCCTCCCTCTCCCCTTCCCCTCCCCTCCGGGGGGCTCTTTCTCCCGCCGCTCCCCCCCATCCTCCGAGGAGGAGGAAGGCGAGGGCCGTATATGAACGCGGCCGGCTTCCCCTGCCTGCGAGGCATGTGCACGCTGCCGGCGGCCAGCCCCGCGGCCAGCCCCGGCTCCCCCGGGCCGCCGCGGGGGTCTCCGCAGGCGCCGCCGGTGAAGCCGGAGCCGCGGGGCGCCGGGAGCAGCCCGGCCCCGCCGCCGCCGCCCGAGGAGCCGCCGCCCCCCGCCGGGGGCCGCCGGAGGAAGCGGCCGGTGCAGCGGGGCAAGCCCCCGTACTCCTACATCGCCCTCATCGCCATGGCCATCGCCAACGCCGCCGAGAGGAAGCTCACCTTGGGGGGCATCTACAAGTTCATCACCGAGCGTTTCCCCTTCTACCGGGAGAACCCAAAGAAGTGGCAGAACAGCATCCGCCACAACCTCACCCTCAACGACTGCTTCGTCAAGATCCCCCGGGAGCCCGGACATCCCGGCAAGGGCAACTACTGGACACTGGACCCGGCCGCAGAGGACATGTTCGACAACGGGAGCTTCCTGCGCCGGAGGAAGCGCTTCAAGCGCACCGACATCACCACCTACCCCGGCTACATGCAGAACTCCAGCGCCTTCACGCCCCCGCCCGCCGGCCGCCCCACGGCACCCACCGCGCCCTACCCCAATGCCCTCTGCTCGCCTGGCTACGGCCCCCAGCTCTCCAGCGGCGTCTTCCACCCCTACGCCGCCGGGGCAGCACCGCCGGCACAGCACCCCAGGATGTTCAGCATCGACAGCCTCATCAGCGGGCAGCAGGCCCTGCAGCCCTCACCGCCCTCCGAGCTGGGCCACCCATCGCTGGGCTTGCCCGGAGCCGAGCTGGCTCCCGCCTGCTCTGCCGGCAGCTCCGAGCCCCCCTGCTTCCAGGCACAGCCTGTCAGCCCCGGCTTGCTGGGCCGGGCCGGCCCCAACTCCCTGGCCTACCCCTATGCCGCCTCGCCGCCGCACCTGCCCGTGGCTCAGGGCAGCTACTCGCCCAGCAGCCCGCAGCTCTACGGGGCTCCCAACAGACTGGCGCTGCCGGCCGTGCGGGCCCCGGCCTGCTCCGAGCACGGCGAGCAGCTCCTGGGGCTCTCCGCATCGCCCCTCGGCCAGTTCGGCTCCAGCAACGCCTACATGAGGCAGCCCGGCTTCCCCGGCGGCCTGGAGCGGTACATGTGATGGGCTGAGACATCCCCCGGCTCCCACGAGCGGCCCTGGACACGCGGACTTCTCCCTTCTGTGGGGCAGCTGCGGTGGAGTCGGGGTGCCGGGCTCCCGGCTGGGTGCGGACACACACCTGCGGGAGGATCCGTTCCTCTCCCTCTCTCTCTCTCAGCCTATTCTGAAGAGGAGGCAAGGTGATACCTGTTTATCTGCTCCGTTCCTTCTCAGAAAAGGTGTTCGCTGGCTCTGCCGGGCAGGGCTTCCCACGCGTGCCCAGCCTGGCCCCGGGGCACCCCCAGGGCGAGCAGGAGCACACCCAGGGTGGGTGCATGGTGTAACATGCAGGAACTCTCTCTCAAATGGGCTTTTTCCTCTCTTCCCTGAGTGCCTCCCGTGTAACTGGAATGAAAGTTATCAAAAAAAGCCCCCAAACCACTAAACAAGTTCACTGGATTTTAAATGAATATTTAAGATGGTTTATAATTTCCTTTCCCTGTAGGAAAAGAAACCCCAACTTGACTACTTCTTTTTACTATTTTTAAAAATTACATTTATTGTTAGAAAGGACTTTTTTAAAATAAAGCTTTTTCTTCCAACATGAGCAGTGCTGCTGTTCCTCTGGCTCTGGACGGATCTTGGCAAGAGGAAATTATAGTCTTGTAACTGGTGGGAGATGGATTTGTGTTGCTGTTGTGACACTGCCACATCTTACATTTTTTTTACAGCTCTTACTTGAGTTGATAGTTTTCCATTTGCATAAAGAGACTGTGTCTTCCCTCCAAGGAATCCCTTGCAGGTGAAATTCTGATATAGCCCATCAAATTAAGAGATTACGATTTTTCTTCCTAGCAACAAAATCAATTAAAATTCTAACCCGTTCACTGCCTGGGCTGCTACTATTTATTTGCAGGACTCCCAGCCAGACCACCTGACAAGGTTTGAAGGGAGAATTCCCCATCCCCAGATTTAGATTTTTTCTTTTTTAATTTAAACATCCTTTGGGTAAAAGTGCCAGTCTAGGATTTCACTCCCTTTTTTTCAAGGGTGTCTTCTGAAGCAGAGCAGTTTTCTGTAGTCTCTATTGCGCTCTCTTCTCTAAGGAGTTGGATGTCAGCTGATCTTTGGTGTAAAACAGCATCTCGTTCCCCAGCTGCTGGGCAGTATCAAAAGCTGCTGTGCTGGCAGGTACCCACAGAATCAGCTTTTGTCCACAGCATGGGACTTTGTGTCTTTTCATTCTTTCATTTTATTCCCACTCACAGGAAAGGAGAGTGGGTTTAGTATGAGAGTGGAGGGAAGAAAATGCTTTTTTCTTCTTGGTTTCCTTAAAATTTTGTCTCCATCTGTCTCTAAAAACTGGTCTGCCATCTTCAGCTGAGTTGCTGAGTGCTGAGTTTCCTCTCTGGTCCATCCAGCTTTACCCTTTCAGCTTTCACACTGGTCCCAGCAGCAGCTTCTGTGCTTTTCCCCTGGCAATGACCCTGCTCAGAAAGGGCATTGTGAAAGAACTTAGCCCTTGAAATATTTGGCTCTCTCCACACAATATCTATAGGCAGACATCTTCTGTCTAATGGAAATTTGCAACGTGCCATGCCTGCCTGTGCCATACTCTGCAGAGATCACCTGGGGGGTGCTGAAGTAACCACTTGCAAGGACAGTCGGCAGAAAGGACATTTGTCATAGCTCACATTCATTCCCAGGGCCTGATCCTGCAACGTTTTGCTAACAGAAGAACTTTTGAAATCTTGCCTGAGTACCCAGGATGTCAGAGCCAGATATGTGCCCGAAGCACTGGGTCTGTGACTCCACTGGGTTTGCACCCTGAGCAGGGGGGCTGCTGAGGCAGGGGAGAACCAGGTACTGACATGAAATAAAACCAGTAGTGGATGTAGGAGGTGGGCAGGATGGTGGGATGCCCTGGGAAAAGTTGGCCAAGCTGTGACAACTTAGGCCAAGCTGAGCTGGCTCGTCCCAAATCACCTTGGAGACTCGTGGTAGCAGGGAGCTGGTGTTGGAAAGGGCTTTCCGAGTTCCTGGTGTCCCTGAGTGTTAACTCAGGTGCTGCTGGAGCCATGAGGGCTGGGCTGAAGGGGGGCTGGGCTGTGACTTGCTCCTGTCCCCCAGCTGCCTGTGCCCTCCTGCTATGGGGCTTTCTGGAGAATGGCATCCAGCTCCAGATTTAGGGACGTGTCTGCAAGAGGTCCGCCCCACACCTGTGCAAGAGGGGCTCTCTTCAGCCAAGGAGGCTCTGGTGTGAGTGAGTCCCCACAGTGGAGTGGCTCCCCAAAAACCGGGCTTGGAGAGAGTGCATGACCCCATCCTGGTGTGTTGGGACAACCCCTGGTGGGTAGCACTGGGTTGCACATCTTCCCTGGTACATCCCTGTCTGCCAGACAGCCCAGAGCCCCCTGCAAGCACCAATAAACCACCCTCACCTCGGGCCTTACACTGCCAAACAGCTGGAAAACAGGGGAACAAACCCCTTTTCTTCTTTTTCCTGTAGATATTAATCCTCACATGCACAAAACTCTGGCAACTTTTATTGTGATTGTCATTAAATGAATGCCTTAAGAGTGTCTTCTTGGTTAAGTTAATGTATCCCAACGAGGCTTTTAAGCTTCCATTTCAAAGCTTTGTTTACAGTTAGGGTGAATCTAGCAAATGAGTAGGATTAAGGTGTCATGTAAAGCATGAGCCTTGCTGGGACAGAGTAGTTTTAAGCTTTGTAAAGTTTATACCTGAGCTCTTCATCTGTTTTAGTGTCTCTTCGATGTCCCTGTTCAGTGAATAAGAGGGATTTGAATGAAACAGGAGTAATTATCACTCAGATTTCAGTTGTGAAATCAAGTCTCCTTGGAAATCCTCCCCTCTTTATTTAGGGAGTTAAGGGAATATTATGTAATGACAGTTGTAACAATCTCAAGCTCACACAAAAGACAGAGGTTTGTTTTTTTTTTCCCCACAAAAAACTTTCTGTGCTTTCTGAGGTTGTGGAAAGAATGTCGTACCTCAGGGTGATGGCAAGAGGTACTCTGGACTTTCCTGTGGTGGGGAGAGCCCTGTCCCGAGCCCATGAAATGCTGATGGGGGAAGTAGAATTGATCCCAAGCACCAAAGAGATTTAGTGGTGATCTGGGCTATCTTCTCTGACTTCTCAGTGAATAACTCCTTGCAAATCAGGCTGATTTCAGATAACCCAGGCTGCATGTTTAGAAACAGGCAGCCAAAATGAGCTGCCACTTTGAAAAGATGTTGGTTTTTCACTGGGAAACTCTGGCTATGCACGGAGGACCGACTGAGCTGTTGTATCTGTCTGTGCACAACAGCATTCTGCATGTTTCGTGCTCGTACCACCTTCCTGCTGCTTCCAACAGGTTCAAACAAGCAACAAGAAATGCTCTTTCCAGATTATATTCCCAAACTATAAATAGTGTTTCCCACCCTGGTACAAACAAACACAGCACTAGCTGGAATTTTAGCTGAAACACATTTCCTGAAGAACTAATCGGTCCCTCTGGTAGTGTTAGGTTTTTTTTCTGGATGCTGGCAGCTGTTCACTGACAGTCTCAGTGCTGGAAATGTTACACCATAACTTGCTGTTTTTCTATGCAATACTTTGCCCTTTGCAAATACACAGTTTGAAGTATTCAGTGGTGTTTCTTGGAGGTCAAGATTGAGTTGGTAAAGTCAGGCAGCGATGGGGAGTGGGCAGTGGGTGCAGTGGGACCGGCTGAGATTGGCTCTGCCGGGTAATAATGAGATTTTAACAAATTAGCGCCTGGGAGTCAGCACTGCCCAAGCTCTGAGCTACATCTCGGGGTGTTGGGGGTCGGTCAGCACTTTTGCTAGGTGGTGTTTAGCTCCTTTACATTCGGAAAGTTCCCACAGGGGCAGGAGCAGTGGCGGGGCCGCTGTGTGTGTGTGAGGGCGAGAGCGGCGCCGCGCTGCCCTCCGCCGCTTCCCCGCGGTGTGAGGGGCGGCGGGGGCGGCACGGCCCCGGTGCCATCAGCGTGCTCGGGCCAACACTGACCTCCAGCGGAAAGCCCTGGGAAGCCGCTCCCGGCTCCCGGGGCAGCGCTCAGCTCGCCCCGGCAGCATCCCGGCCTTTGGGGGCTGCTCCGGCTGCCGCGGGTCAGGACATCGGGAGTTGTGGGGTACGGCCGGGGTGAGGCACAGCGGAGTTGGTTCGGGAGGGTGGGTGTGAAGCACGGCGGGCTGGATACAAGCTCCGGCCTTAAAACACCAGCTGATCACTCTGGGGAGGTTCTGAAGGGAAAGGGTTTATTCCTTCTTTTACCCATTTCCTAAGCCATGGCTGGCGCAGGGCACAGGCTTGGGCTGTGCTGGCTGTCCCCTGCAGCTCTTCTCCCTAGAGTGAAAATAGGGAAACTAGTGGAAGCACAGCGAGAATCTGCATGCTTGATGGAAGGGGAGGGGTCGGTGGTGACAGATCACTCCTCTGCAGCAGCCACTCTCACTGGCAGCCCGATTTTGTGTTTGAAATGTGCTGCACGATGGTTGAATGGCAGAGCTGGGGGCTGGCCTGGCTCTTAACAGCACCCAAAGTGCCAGGCAAAGCAGCAGAGCCTGAGCATTGGCAGCACAACGCCTACAAGCTCTTGGGAGAGATTTGGGGTGAAGTCATTTCACAGCCTTTGTGCTGTGCTTTGTTACCCTGATTCTTAAGTTTTTCTAAAGCCTGATTTTACATTCTGTTGGAAAACTTTCCCACACAATTTCTGTAAATAACATATTGTTTTGCATTCCTTCATGGGGGTAGAGAAACTTAATGTACTAGTAATTTGTCCAATGTCTTTGGAGAGGTGGCCCATTCACTCTCCAATCCACTGTCACCTTTGGAAAAGTATAAAAGTTGGAGTCAGAAAATAAACTTCCTCTTTTACCTTACAAAATAGCAGGTGGCTCGCATTATACTTTCTCGTGTCCTATAACAACAGTGCTTGCTGAAGTGGTTCCACTGCAGCACTTGGGTTTATGAATGTAATGAATCAACTCTGCCATCCCAGCACCAGCAAGCAGCTCTGGCTTGTGGCATGGAGAAAAGGTGCACCTGAGCCCCTTCCACACATGGGAAAAGTTCATTTTCCACTTGCGTCAGCACTGCTGAGCCAAAGGCAGCAGGGTATGACCTCTGCAGAGAGTGGGCCCAATGGTCTCAGACATTTTGGGTGCTTTCCGTCTGCACCACAGTCATCTCATCTTGGTTTTAAAACTCTCGTGCTAATCAGGTGTTGGAAACCAAGTTTAATCTGTAGATCCATTTTCAGGAAGTTTCAAGTGATCTAATTTGGCTGGAGCAAATGGACCTCAAAACCCACTAAATTGGCCGAGCCCACTGACTTCCCTTGCTCTCTGCTCAGAGCAGGCCATGGGTTTCAGAGGAGGAATTAGTTCACCTGTGCAGGTCAGGCCAACCCAAGTCTTGGTTGTACCCTTTCCAGATGTTCTCTGATTGAAAGACAGGAGTCTGAGTAAAGCTAAGGGGGCTCTGCTGTGCCTCATTATTTTC